TAGCGTAATGGCTATGTTGCTGGTCTCCCATGTAGTCGACCGCGTTTTGCGCCCCAGACTCAGTGGCTTAAAACTCACGCTGGGCGCGTGTGCATGCATGCCCAAGATCCCCAGAGGAGAATGGAGGAGAAGGGATTGTGGCGTGGCCATCTCCCCGGGGAGCTGATTTCTTGCTTTCTGTCTCTCTTTCTCTCTTGGCTGGCTGGTGAGTGCACACGCTCTATAGCAAAAACCTCTCCAACAACAAAAAAAAAGGTTTCTAATACCTCACATCTCATCTACCCTACCTTCTCCAATACTGTGACCTGGTATATGTGCTCACCAGATATTCTTGTGAGTCGCTGAACTCTGACACACTTATGAGCTGTATGTTCCATTTAGCAGTACCATCTGCCACCTGCCATATGCCACAGTCTTTCCTCCTTAGTTAGACTGAAACTCTTCAGGAGGTCAGAAGTCTTCTCTTTTTAGTGGAGATCTGGGCGCAAAATAGGTTCAGCAAGACTTGCTGACAATTTTAGACTAGCTGAACTTTGGTCCTGGCTGACCAGCTGTCCTCTGATCTTCAGAATAGATGGCTACTTCAGGAGTCTAGCTGAAGACCTGCCAAAGATCTAAACCCAGCAGCCTTGCCCTAGCAGGGGTAGAATGGTGGCATCTCTAATTCTGATGCCGGATTAAGCATATGTTCAAACAAGAAGGCCATGATCTCCTTGGAAAATTAGAAAACATTAAAAAAAAAAAGGTGTCACATGTATTATCAAAGGTACCAAAATATGAATAACAAACAAGTTTCTTTCAATATTATTTCTACATGGTCATAATGATCACCCCAGTCATTATGAAAAAGAGTGAAGGGAAATGAGTGAAATAAAAAGAAGAGTTTCTTGGTGACTGGTTCCCTACTTTATGCCTAATTAGTAGTTAAGCTAATGGTCATCCTCCTACTTCCTTCCTTTACTTTTTGTTTTCATCTTCATCATAAAGTACTCCCATTCAAGAATGTACTCTTTCCAAACCGATCAATGATTGAGGGAATGAGGGGCCCAGAACTGAGCTGAGACCAGAGTGATCTCAGGTGGTTGCAAAAGAGCCCGATCATCATGGCATAGCATGCTGACACACTTCTCAGAATTTACTTACTCATGCGAAGTACTATGGCTTTCCTTTGCTAGGACTGCCTAACTTCTGTCCATGGTCCACGCAGGCAAATCATAAGCAGAAAACATCAGGGAGGCAGAAACCTAGGAGCATTACCTCACTGCCTTGGGTTTGAGAAATGGTTAGTAAGCTTGTTGCAGAGCTCATGGGACTTTCCATGATGGTCTTCACTCAGAGTGGCAAGTGCAGGCATCAGCACTGGCCCTACAACAGGTTCTAACTCAAGGACAGCCTTGCTTGCCATCAGGCCTTACAGGTATCAAAGACTTGCTCAAATTGGAAGAACAGCAGAAACACACCCACACTCCTACTGCCAACCTCCTCCAAAGACAAACAAGTCGGACTATTCCTGGAATCACCATCCCTTTCCCAAATTGATACCAGGCAGAACACTGCTCCCCCTGGATGTCATGAAGTGGGCAGGTTGGTCCCCAGGGTTATGAAAAACAAATTACCTCTAGATACCTAGGACATAAAAAGCCCCAAGCTTCTTTCAGGATCTGTTTAAAGGACACGTTTTGGGCCAGCCTATGGCCCAGTGTTTATAGCAGCTGACTGCCACATGGCCAACCACAGGTTCAAGTCTCAGACCCGGCAGCTTCAAAAATACTCAACGTACATGTACTTGCATGCCCCAAAATTTCACCAGGAAGGCGAAATAAAGGAGAAAGGACTGTGGTGACCTTTCCTGGACGAGTGGAGGTTAAGGTTGGGGTGCTTTCTCACACATCTCTCCCCAACCATCTTTCTCTGGCAAGTGTGAGCACCCTCAGGGGGTGAGGGTGGGGCGGGGGGAGAGACATCCTTCTTTCCCACTTAGCTGCCTAAGCAACTTCTCTGTCCACACTGAGCTCAAAGTGGCTCAGGGGCCCACAGCTACCAGCACTGAAAACAAAGATTAAAGACCACTGTCTGGTACTACTTGGCTAAAATCCAGGAATGTTAAATAGCCTAGGTTAGAAATTCAACCTTGTTCGTGCTAAGTAACAAATAATTTTTAAAACCTCTTGGTACAGAGATTTAAGCCAAATTGGGGGGCGGGGAGAAAAACAGAATCTCCTTAAAATCTAGGAAAGCAGGTACAGGAAAGGCTGAGAACATCAGACTGGAGGGCACGGAAGCTCCATAGGCAAGGTTGGTCATGGAGAACCAGAGTAGACACATTGCCCGTAGCTGAACAAATACTGTTATTCCGAGCTCTTGTGGTACTGGTCTACTGGCTCATTTGGCTTACAAGGACACTATCTACCCAACAACAGGGAAGCAATGAACTTTCTGAATGTCAGTACAACTTTAAGCTGCCAACAGTTAAAAAGAGACCTGAATTTCTCAGTTTAAGATTTCATCTTAAACTGTGTGATGATTTTCATCATCACATTTTCATTAGTGATACCTCTTAAGTTCATTTTGGAACCATTTGTTTTCTCCTAAGAATTTAATATCCCACATGTCTCTTCTAAGGCAAAAATTATTGGATCATTTTGCAACTCTGTAAACATCTTTATTTTTTGGAGATTTTTGCTATTCGGTACATCTACTTACTGGAGAAACAGACAGAAATGGAGATACAGTGAAAAATTCCCCAGCAGAGATGGTCACACTGCAGTCCCTTCTCCTTCATTCTCCTCTTGGGATTTTGGGCACACGTGCACACGTGTCTGGCGTGAGTTTCAAGTCACTAGGTCCAGGACTCAAACAGTGGTCACCCATGTGGGAATCCAGCACCTTGACCACTATGCTACCTGCTGGCCCCCAGATCTGTAAACATCTTAAAGACTTAGAATGGCAGGGTGCTATCTAGTAATCATGGCAGAAAGGTTTGCTGACATCTTGGTATCTCATCGAGGTAGTGTCTCACCAAATAAAATGATCACCCTGAAGACAGTCTGGCTGAACCTTTCATTATTTTCATTAGAGAAAGGCAAAGTCAACTCTGTTTTTTCTGAGTTTTCTAACAACTACAGCCTGAGAGTGCAGCTGTTCTGGTCATGGCCTCACATTCTTTCTGCAAAGGCTCTAGTTGACAAGATTTATGGGGTGGTCTGAAGAAGCATGCTAAGCAATGTGGGATAACCCACAAGGGAGAACTTTCTGGCCTTAGTGAGGAAGATCTAGTTTCCATGAAGGATTAGACAACCAACCCCTAAACTTTCTCTCTTGGCTGTGGGTGCTCAATTCTCAGGAATGAAGCAAAAAGGGTTCTTTGCTTTCATAGTCTCTGAGAAGAGATTGATAGTCATGTTAAGGTTTGGAGATGTGAAGAAGACACAGAGGGCTACTGGGGGCTTTTCTTTGTGGGAGTAGACACAGAGGTAGCATTGAACATTCCCAACACAGTAGGTGGGAAGAAAAATCAAGACAAAATGAATAAGCAAAGCAGACTTGGCTACTGATCCACTCCAATCCCTGGATGTTTGTAAAACTAAAAGAAATTGCTTTTCATGCCTAGCAGCCAGCACAGGCAATAGCTTTCACCAAAGCCATCTCAGCAAGATGGTAAATCACAGATCACCAAGGCCAAAAGCAGTATGTTAAGAATAATGACTTCCCTTTGAGATGATGATGCTTAAAATCCCACAACAAACCAGCCAAGCTCCAAGGTGAGAGAGTAGGTTTAAATCATGTCCATGGGACAATGGCGCAGAGTTACAGGGAGCCAGTGAACAAGTTCTGGACAGCCTTGTGTATGGCCAGTTGGACACGATACTTACAGTGAGTTGGGTCGGGTGGGTTTGACCACATCCAGGTCTGGGTCACTGGAATTCATGTTGGGCTGTAAGCTGCTGCTGGAATTAAGGATGCTGTTTGCATTTGATGAGACAGATTCCAAACTGGAGCTGATGATACTGTTTCTTTGTTCTTCTGAGGGGAAAAAAGATGCCAGAAGCTCGGTATTAATGTTATTGCATAGGGATAGTCTGTTTCTACACAGACAAACATTTACAAATCATGAGACTGGATTCAGATTTCTGGTCCCAACAAAGGACATAGAAAGGGATTAAAAGTAGGAAAGGAAGGGCCAAAGGGGGATAGATTATTTGCAGATTAATTTGGCTACAGAATTTAGAACTCTTCATATCGAAACTATAGAGCAAACAAGTCCTCCTCCTCATCTTGACAGGATATACCTCCTCTTTAATATAAGCCAGCCTTTTTTCTAAAAGAGGTACAGCCACTGCCCCATACATTGTGCCTTTCTTTGACGTGTGGCTGGTCAGAACACAGAGCAGCCTTTGCATCCAACCAGAATACAAAAGAAAATACATATTCAACCAGATTCCCTTGGTTTCTATGACACTCACCTTTTATTCTAAAACTCCCTAACATTGCCTGTATTTCCCAGGCCATGTCCTACTCCAAATTCTACAGCATCTTACCACAGAATTTCATATTCTTTGACCACTAATTTCTTCACAACTCGGCCAGTCTAAATTCCTGACCCCTCCCCAGATGCGTCCATCTGTGTTGCTTCTAGCTGTGTATTTGATAATTAATTTAAGTCAATTATTTGATAACCAGCTCTATAATAACTTGCATAGTAAGATACATATAAAAAAAAAAAACCACAAAAACAAACAACTGAGTCATGATCCAAGCTGTCGTATTCGTGCCTAGAGAACGTCATCGAGTCAGGAGGGAGAAAACGTGCGTTCTCTTCATGACTCCACTGATGACTGGCTGTGTAGCCTCAGCTGACTTCAGATTCTTGGTGAACAAACCCGTAAAATGGGAGAATGAGAAATGCCCTGCATAACTTAAAGAGCTACAGAAGTTTCAAGTAGGATCACATGTAGGAATATAATTGGTAAACTTTGGAATTATGCTCAAGAAAAGAATTTTCTCTTTCCTCCCATCTTTAAAAACTTGGAACCATGCATTGAAAAGACATTTCGGAGGATGATTTAGCTGAACGGAATAGGCACCACTGCTGCAGCAAAATATTATAAACTTAAAATGTCATTCTTATCCTATATCTGTTACAGATATAGCACACTGAAGTCAACTGATGTTTTTGGCAATTAATTCACTTATCAAGAAATAACGTATCTGGGACCAGCAGTTACTGTAATGGCTATGTCGCTGAACTCCCATGTAGCCAACCGCGGTTTGAGTCCCTGACCCAGTGGCTTAAACTCACACTGGGAGTGTGTGTGCATGTGTGCCCAAGATCCCGAGAGGAGAATGGAGGAGAAGGGATTGTGGCGTGGTCATCTCCCCTGGGGGTGATTTCTCACTTTCTGTCTCTCTGGCGAGCGCACATGCCTTATAGCAAAAACCTCTCCAAAAAAATAATAAAAAAAAATAACATATATGGGTTCATCTTTATCAGATTTTTAAATTAATTAATTAATTAATTTTGACTATAGGGTGTGTGTTGTACCTGCCAGAGAGAAACAGAGAGAGGGAAAGTGAGAAATTCCCCCCCTCCCCCCCCGCCCAGAGGAGATGGCCACACTGCAATCCCTTCTCCTCCATTCTCTTCTCAGGATTTCGGGCACGCACACACACATGCCTAGCATGTTTTTCAAGCTGCCACATCTGGGACTCTAACTGTAGTCAGTCATGTGGAAGTCCAATACCTTAATCACCATGCCATTGGCTGGCCCCATTACCAGACCTTTTTGAAATGAGGTTAAGGGGTACTATACCCTTAGGAGTATAGACTGAAATCACTGACATAATTGAGAGGTCAGCATTTGAACTCAGGCCTCTTCAGGCAATAAAGAGTGATGCCATACAAAATATTGTTCTCTTTGCACTAGTCATGTCTGTAAAAATAAACTATGCTTATAAAATTGTGTTAGAGTAATCTTGACATGAAACACACTCACAAACCCTAAGTCCCTATAACCCCCCGGTCCCCCTAATATCTTGGCAAACCCTAATGCCCTGAATAAAGCTCTGTGGAAATGATTAAAAACTCCATGCGATTATTGGGAGATTCCTGAACTCAAAGGAGATTTTGAAAAATGTAGATTATTAAGTCGATTACAGAGATTTAGAACTATTCATATTTGAAGAGCTTAAGTTTTAAACAGAAACAACAATGAAGAAAAAGAAACCAAAAGAGTTTTATGGAGCCAAGATGTAGGAAGACAGAGCCTGTAAACTGGAACTTGCTATGAACTTGGTAAGGAAGAAAAACAACCTTAAAATTACGTAATTGCAGGATCATTGAAATAATGGATATGCCACTTATCAGTGTGAATCAGTATAAAATTTTCCTTTGCACAAAATACTCAAATCAAGATTCATGAAAGATTTGAGGAGCCCCAGTCCACCACATAAAAAAGAGGAGTGAAGATGACACATCTTTGGAATTTAACCAGAGATATTTTATGCTTCATATGGGAGCAGAGATAATTAAAACAAACACAAAAACAAAAACAAAAAAACTCTAGTTTGAGTAGTTTGCAGGGAGGGCCAAATTTGCATGATATAATTCTGTCAATTCTTAGGAAATAGAAAACTATATTTCTCTAATGATTATATTCCCTTGTCCTTAAGAGAGTTATGATTCTATAAACTAAAAACAAAACCTTGTTGACAGTATATTAGCCTTTCTAAAATGTTATCAAGACATTTCCCCCTCCCTTATTGGTTATTAGAAAAGGGAATTATAAGATTAAACCTTCCTCAATGTTCATTTATTCAATGAATGTTTACTGAGAGTCTGAGTACCAAACATAGTCCCTAGACGATTAACAGACCCCCACACTAATCCCTTGGTATTTTATTCAATCACATAGCAGAGTATTTATCAACTTATTTCTTTGTTTATATGCTCACCTTCTTCAGTTAACTATGAGCAACCTAAGACCAGACATCTGAGAGATAAAACTTGGAAACCACAACTGATAAAACATTATATAAAGACGTTTTGCTATAAAAATTTCTTATCAGAATGTTGATGCTTATTCGCTATGATTCTAAAAGCTGGATTTAGCTAAACTGGTTAAGAACATATCTACTGTTACAGTAAATAGACCGGGCATCTCCATGAGCTAATGGTGAAGGTGGTGGCAAATGGAACACAATATTTGTCTAGAATAAACCTACCAGAGAAAGAGGATAGGGTGAAAAATAAGAACTCAATCTTCTATGAACTTGAAAAGTCAATGGAATAAAACAGGTGGCTACACCCAAATTGAACATGAAGATTCCTAGTATTTCATTTATTGGAAGACATTAGAGTTTTTTTTGTTGTTTTTTTAAGAAATAAATCCTTTTAGAGGATCTGTATGTGTGTGTGTGTGTGTGTGTGTGTGTGTGTGTGTGTGTGTGTTAAAATCTCTAGGACTTTTCATAATATATAACCTGTAAATCAAAACAAAACAATAATAGAAGCAAAGATTAGGGAAAGGAGCTATTTCTCCAAGAAAACAAAACAAAAAATTAAAAGATTTCATGACTTTGCAGCCAAGATCACCAAACAGATAGATATTCTAAGAATCAGACTCATTTCTGGTATCCTGAATGGGCCACAGGACAAAGCCCATGACTCCCTGCTATAAGGCTATTACAGCTCTGGAGAAATGAGTCTCATAAAATAACACCGAGAACTGCTAGGTAGAAGATTTAAGCTAAAATGCTAAAGATCCTCACTGAGGGCAAGTAGAAAGGTGAGGATTATTCAAGAGAAGAGGTGGAGAGTAAAAATCAACAGCAAATCAAATGTTTTAGTGAGTATCGGAACTATGGCTGAGATAAATTTAAAGCATTTAGAATAAATTAAGAAATGAACTAAGAAGAAAATCATTCTGTAATATCACTCAAAAGAGGAACATTTCTTGTCAGGGAGGCAAATAAATACCTGCTCCTGACAGAAAAGTAAGAGAACAAGCAGCTTAGAAGACTTTGTGTTTTGTTTCATTTTGGATAAAAATTATCCAAATCCTTCAAATAACAGAGCTGGACTTCCTTTAGTCACTGATGATTCAAACCAGCTCTGGAGTTCTCATTAGAAGGTATAAGAAGGGCGAAAGGTAATTAAATTGCTGAAGGAAAAAAATAATAGACCAGTGGGCTTCAAAAAGAAAACAACCAATTATGACTCAGAGACCATAGAGAACCATTTAAATGACAAAAAAAAAAAAAAAAAAGACAAAGAAAGAAAGATTGTCCCAAACTCAGGAGTATTCCTAAGCCCGCTGAAGTCAGTGAGAAGGTCTGCCTTCCGAATCAAGCACATTTGTCAACAAGAATCTTTCCTATTAGTCACAGAAAAATAGAAAGAAAAAAAAAAAAGCCCAGCAATCAGGAAATGATAAAAGATATCCCCAAACAGCAGTGAAAGCGCTATAATGAGCTGGATGCTTTCATGAACTTATGTTTCACAAGGACTGCCCAACTGGATGTGGGCCTGGTGCTGAGAGTGCACGCTTCTCAAGGGCAGGGTTAGCTCTAGCCACAGCACCCACTACAGTGAACTGTGAGGCCATCCATACATTCTTGGAGCCTGGTCCATGCTTCACGTGTATGAAAACACCACGAGTGGTTTTAGAAAGATAATACATTTAAGGAAATAATACACTACCCAGAGAGAGTTTTGTGGGAGTGAAGTTTTCAGGTGCTCCAGACTGGGACTACTAAATGTCCTTGAAACCAAAGTACTGAAGACAGCGGGCAAGGTTTTTGTTTTTTTGTACAAATCAGGAGCGGAAAAACATGAGTATGCAACCAAATCACTGCAACTAAAAAAGGAAAGCCACAGAATAATTTTGGTGATATTGTACTTGTTCTGGGGGTTGCCATGGAAATCCGGGAGCTAAGCTACTTCACTTTCCATATTTACCAAGTGACTCCAACTCACTCTAATGGCAACCTCATCACACGCAGGAGGCAGGATCTCTGTTTATCAC